CTCTAAAGAAATTGTTTTATGTAAAGTAATAAGGTTTCTTCACATTCACACCATATTCTGAGAGGGCAGGAGTCAGGTCCTCCATAGTCAATGTGTACTTCTTATCCTATACACGGGAGGAGGAAGAAAATTATCAGGAGCAAAAATAACTGAAAGCAGATGAAACCTTCCTCTTCTAGCAACACTCACACAGCGCTCTCTAAATATTGTACATCATATTTAAAGTGCCTGTTAAAATTAGACAAGCTTACCTTTGTCTTACTTCTTGAGCTTCCTGAGGCAGTGCCTTTCATTTTGCAGTACTGCAGCGCATCATTGGCAATGTCTGAGATAAACTTCTGAGATGCGAGGGAGATCAGACGAATTCTATGCATGGAAAAAAGAAAATAATTAATGACTTCTTCCCTTAATGGTTTACAGCCCATCTGTATCCTTACTTTGAAAAACACCACACACATAAACCTCAGATTTTCTCTGATCTTGTTCGGAGTGACCTCAAAGCTGACATTAAAGAGTCTTACAAGGTTAGAGATGTTGCATTTTGGTTAAAAGGTTAAAGCCAGTTTGTTTTAAGCAAATCTAATCAGCCAACACCCCCTTTAATATCAGAAAGCACAGTGCTACCTAACTAATACAGTATTAAGATAAGAAATGCTGTATACCATTGGGAAATTCTTTAAATTAAGCAGGAGCATAGAAATATTTGACAATATAGTCATCTATTTGTGACTTCAACATGTTCCCAATGCCAGATTACATTAATTTCCGACTCATTCAGTGGCTTGAACTCGGGTTTTTAATGGTGAACTCATATTATATAAAGGCTTTTAAGTCATAGGTTTGTTAAGTAAATTGGTGGCTATCAATCAAACCTCTGAATGTACCAACTGAGCAGCCTTATGATTTGTGCTGTTTGTTTTATTAGTCACACTCATATCAGGATTATTGTACTCCTCCATGCGTGCACACTGACAGACACAAAGCTGTTCCTAGTATACAATTTCCCAGTCTACTTAAAGGACACATGCACAGGTGGAGCCTTTTTGCTGTATTTAATGTCTAAACTGACAAGTCCATGACATTAGACCAGAATTGAGTGTACTCACATCCTTGGATCAGAAGCCTCAAAGCCAGCCCGGTTGAGGTAGTAACCTGTGACTGCATCAGGAATCTGATGGGGGGGGCATATGCCAATCAAGCACTGATTAAGAAACATTACTGTCAAAAACATGAGAAGATATGATGTAGCAGGGCTAACTGACTTACCGTGGGAGTGTACTCTTCCAGCTGCATGAGGAAATCAGCCAGTGGCGTGGTGGAAACAGCAGGCTTCACATCTCCATTGGTGATGCCACCAGGAACATAGACTCCATTGGAAACAGATGTGTCTGCAGACGGTGTCACCACAGCCGATGAGGACGAAGCTATAAAAAGAGACATCAAGAAGGGTCTATTAAATGCTTGGAAAAAGGGTGGCTTTACCGCTCTGGAAAAGTAGGCAAAAAGAGGCCAACTGGACTTCTTTAAGTTTGTGAAGACGTTTCACGTCTTATCCAAAAGCTTCTTCAGTTCAAATAACGAAGGTGGAGAGTCCCAGATATTTAAGCCCTAGTGCAGAATGTCACCTTTGGAGATAGTTGTTGACCTACTATTAATCATGTGTGACATGACATGAGCCAAGGAGTTAAAAAAGGGAATGAGTCATTAAACCAGAGGTTTCAAGTGAAATTGCAGTGAGACCTTGCCCCTCCCTATCATGACCTATTGAGATTACCTGAGGCAAGGGTTGAAGTGTCTGGAAAGGGATCTCAAGATAGCATTGAAGGTGGCAGCCTGTGTTCAGTGATGTTTGTTGACACTGGGCAAAGATGGCCTATTTTACTCCTCTTTCAAACCATCTGTTTTGTCAGTCCAAAATGTGAACATTTGTATCATCAAAAGAGTGTAGCTGTGCATCTGCACCTAAAGGATAAGTTGCACCTTTTGCCGCTTGGTTATTTGGCCAGTGGCGTTGAGGATTTAGGTAAACTTGATTAAATTATAAACACATGAATAGGGTCAGATTTTGATATCCACCACAAAATACTATTTGGACACAGTTTCATCTTTCAGCATGACAATGACGCCAAACATACTGCTAATGCATTAAAAAATACCTGGAAAGAAAAATATACAATTAAGCACTACCACTCATGGATCGGGATCCCAAAGAACAAACTTCAACTTTACTGAAGAATAGTTGGACCACCTTGACAGACAACATAGCAAAAGGCAGCCAACATCCAAAGAAGCTTTAGATGTCCTTCAAGAAGGCTGGAAAACTATTGCTAAAGACTACTTGGAGAAGTAGTCTCCCATTTTTACATAAAAATCATATCTATCTTAAGGATGGGGCCTAAGGGTCTTTCACCATCTCACAATGCTGTGACTGCACCAATTCCCCAACTCTCACTGAACGGTACCCATGGCCATTAATTAATGATCATGACAATTTCTATATTAGTAATCAGGAAACTGACCTAACAGTTAGTCAGTTGTGTTAGTTTCAGTCTTTATGCAAATGTAATGTTTACAAGGTTGGGGACCCCACAGTCAGCTGAAACTGAAGACGTTACTTGAATGAGTGATAAAACATATCTCAACAGTCAGATAAATAGAATCAAATTTCTGTGACGACTTAAAGAATCTACAAGAAAGCTTGCCTGAGAGAATTCAAGCTCTTTTAAATAATAAAGGTGATCATATCAAATATTCACTTTATTTTCAAGCTTGTGAGAATTGCACAAACTCTGTTTGTGCAGTTATATACTAACATTTTTTCAATACACTGTACCCATTTCCAATCTTCCCTGGCAAAATACAAAGAAATCATGGATGGCTTGAGACTTTTGCAAAGTACTGTACTAACAATCTAAAAATTGCTAGAGTGGTTAAGTTAGTGATACGGACTTAACCTGAAACATGGTAGGTTTTGTAATAAATATGTTTAAATCCTTTTAGTGTAAGACGGCAGCCAGGTTAGTACGCGTTTCTCTCAGTCAGGCTTGGTAATGTTGACAATAGTCAATGTACATCGTAGAAAATTCCGACTTCCAGAGCGAGATTCATCAAATGCTCTCAGAATAATAACAAAGACAATAACAAAGCCACGTTACGTTACCATTACTTGTGACCGACGGGATGCTGCTCACGTTGGTTGTCGTATTATCATTGGCAATGCAATTACTTGCCGTTGACGATGTGGTAGAAGGCACTCCTGTTGTTACAGACTGATTTAAGTTGTCCATGTTCATGTTGGCGTTAGCTAACGAGCTAACCGTGGTTAACTAGCACCGAAATATGCAAAACACCACAAATCCGCGATTTATAGCTGTAAGACAAATATTTTACAAAATTCTGTTTTAGTATAACTCTACCCTTTAATTCAACAAATGAATTACCAAAACTAAAAAAACTATAACTCGTAGCAGAAGTGTTCCTAAGACCTTTGCAGTAAAACGCTGAGCCACTACTGTAAAGTAGATCGCTTCACGTGACCTATAGTCATCCTCTTCTTCTATGTGTTTTATTGCTGACTGCACACCGCCTCCTACGCCCCCTGCCGTAGCGGAGACTGTAGGTTATAAATTAATACACTTTCTTCATGATATTTAAAGAATTTAATTCAGATTTGTTCAAAATTATATTGTACTCACAAATATACAATGATTAATGTGTAATTATGTCTTCCAATAAATTGATGCATTCTCATAAACTTAAAATGAATCCATTATGAAGACATAGGATCAGGCTCTGGCTTGAATAAGCAATCATGTTGCCCTGTCAGAAAATTCCTGTAAGAAATCAGCATTCAATTGATTGCAGTCTGCAATCTTTTGACATCTAGCGGTGAGATTTTACACACTATACCTTTAAACAGAGATTCACCTCTACTGGCGGTGCGAAGTGGTAGTTTACGAGGTGCACTGAATATAGCAGAGCGATCTCGTGGACACTGCAGGGGGCGTTAAGGGAGTGTCGGACATTTTCTCGGTTGTAATTCTTGTTCGAAGAAGCGAGTCTCCGTTTTTGTAGTCAGTCTTTCACTGGAGTGGACTGTATGCTTGGCTCTGGACAAATTGTAGTCCTGTATTCGTCTGACCAACGCGGGAGACGGACGTTTGTGACAGTTGTATGGGGCAAAACAGGTACTGGCAGCCTTTATAAACGTGCAAGTTAAATTCTCCACAAACGCCGATTAACGACTATCACAAACTTCCTCTCGTCCCCTGTTTAATAATCACTCAGTTTAGTCCACTTTTAAATGATTGACAATTTTGTGCCTATCTCTGTAGGTTTAACGTGTTTACATATCGCCGTATTAAGGGAAGTATAGTGCATCTGTAGAGGACTGCTCAACCTGTAAAAGAAAATTATGTATTTTCTTCGGTTTTGTGGCGGTGTACCTACAAGCTGTAATTTGTATCAAAGTTCACAGGCTGGCAAAATGACTGCTCCCGTCCGTGCCATCGTGGTAGGAGGAGGATGTCGGGGTGAAATCTACTCCCAGTATGCGTCTATTCATCCCGAACGAATGAAGGTTAGGAGAGGCTTGTGTTTCTGAGGGAAACATTTGTCAAAACGTCAGCATGTCTTCGTCTGTCGAAAGGAAATATCTGAAATTAGTCTCCTAATTATAACCCTTCTTTGCTCAAGTCATTGATGCAAGCTGTTCCTACCAATGTCACGTAGTAAGTTGTAATATTTAACGGGGCGTACCTTGATTTATTCACTTGGACCTCCTCAGGTTGTTGCAGTGGCTGATCCACGGAAATTTGCAAGGACCAAACTTCAAAAACAACACAAAATCGTGGAGGAAAACGTATTTGAAGGTGAGAGGAAGAGAGAGAAAAGTATCAAATCCTTATAATTATCTGCCTTGTCCTTACTGAGTCCTCTTTTATCCAGACTGGCAGGCTGTAGTTGAAAGAGACAAGTTTGCAGACGCTGTGTTAATTTGCACCCCAGATCGCCTCCATAAGGTAAACATTGTCTGTAGCAAATATTTATTGGTTTAAATTACTTTGAGATGTTCTTAAATTAATTATTATGGTAATCACATTTATGCTTCCTAGGAACCTGCTGTGGCCTTTGCTAAGAAGGGATACCATGTTCTTCTGGAGAAACCAATGGCAGTGAGTGTTTATGGATGTTATTGATGAACTGATTTTACAGTAATAATTAATCCCTGAGTGGCACCAAAAGTTTTATTGTCTGAAGTTTGGACACACAGTTTGATTTTAGCTTCCTTTTAAAAATACTTTTTAACTTGTATTGTTTAGAAAAACGGCCCATTGAACCTCTCTCAGATCATTTATTTTAGCATTCTAAAATCTGAGGCAGTGTTTGAACAACAGTATCAACATCAAGCAAAGCTATTTTCTTAGAGCACTATCTTGAAATTTGTATTTAGAGAGGACAGTTTAAAATGTAATGTTAAAAGTAGTCTGTGTTTTCTTTTAATTGTCTTTAATGTGAACTTTATTATTAGTGTGTGTTCAAATATGGGACTTTACAGGACACCATAAACTGGCTAATACTTAGACATTTTTTATGTATCTGTTCAAAATTACAGATGGCAAGAAAGACCAGTGAAAATTTCTGGCTTATCTTTAATAGTGTTTTAAATATTAAATATCTTAAAAAAAGGTCTTTAATCTACAAAAAAAAAAAAACTTCTGAAAGTGGGTCGACAGATCATTTTTTCAAAGAAAGGACATCTCGAAAAGTATTTGATACATGAAGCTAAATTTTTACAGCAATTGTTCTACGTGTCCAAACTTTAAAGCTTTAAAATCTGCTGATTTGAGCTAGAGTGACCCAACAGTTGTTTTTTTTAGTTGCTTTCACGATTCACTATTCTGAGCAAAAGCTTTAACAAAACCACACACCCTCAGTATTTTACATCAAACTGAAGCACAGCGTCCCTCTTTTAATGTCCCCACATGACTTCAGACAACTGCAGAAGACTGCACGGCGATCGTGGAGGCTTGCATTCAGAGCGGCGTGATGCTGTCCGTGGGTCACGTTCTCCGGTACGATCCAGTCATCCACAAGATAAAGGTGAGCATTTTCTAGTGCACTTTATCCAGCTGTGACAGTTTTCTTCAGGTAGTGGAATCTATTGTGGGTTCAAACACTTAAACTTCATCTGCCTAAAATCTATAGGAACTCTTTCTCATTCAAAACAGCCACACATTTACAGAATCAGCAGGATTGAGGAAAAATAAGCAAACAGAGCACTCTTTTGTGTTTGTGCAAGTGCAAAAAAACCCCCATCAAAAACAGCATTTTAATCAAGAGTGCTGAGGCTGTTTTGACTTGATTAAGTCAAAACTACAATTTTCTCATACTTGGGAAAGTGGTAAAGAAAATTTACAAAAGGTATGAGGGTTTTGTTGTTTTTTTTATTAATAAAATTAAATGGTCTTTTACAGGAGCTCATAGACGCTGGAGTCATAGGTGAAGTGATCCATATTCAGCACCTGGAACCGGTGAGCAGGCAGATACGATAGAAACATAATAATAATAATAATAATAATAATAATAATAATAATAATAATAATAATAATAATAATAATTATTATTATTATTA